GAAATGGCGTATTGATCAACGCGACATGGCGTTAAAACTTAAAACTACTACTTACCTCAAGCTTCATTTGCAAAATTGGCATGCCAAGTTGGCCTCTTTTCCCTAGCCATGACCGCGTCCATATTCTCCTCTTTCACTTCCTCGTCTTTTTTCAGCGCACATAAAAACCACAATTTCCAAAGTGCGATTTATCTTGCTCTATTTTTGCTTTTTTCTTCCATACTAACTTGAGTCGTAGCCTATGATTCAATAGGTGTCATCATCGTACAGTCTACATAGATTGTCGGACTCGTACCCAAGTTATTAAAGCCATGTCGTAGTGTGAGATTTGTAATGATCTTACAGGATTGCAGAAATCTGTCTGTAGACACTACACTATGTCTGTAGTCATGCCTGTTTGCTTCAAGTGGATACAGTATGCAGTAGGTCCACTGAATGGCATTGGACACTGTGTATCACTCTGAAACTATCATCTTTCAATTGCACTCAAAGGAAGCTTTTGAATGCACCTACCTTGATATATAAGTGACATTTGAGTATATTTCACCCAAAGGCCTCATTGCAGTGTTATTGAAAAACATGAAAGTTCACCCGTGTTCATCAATTCACTGCAAAAATTATCGCAGTTGTTTTCCCGCTCTTCCAGGCACCTTGAGCTTCTTTCTCTTTTTTTGCACATCAATGCTTCTTCAAGGTCCCGCTGCACCGCACCTCCTGATTTTCCCCATTAAATAATCAAACCTCCTTTGAGAGTGTAGTCTTTGTAGTTTTACTTCAGGCAGGAAACAACACAGAGGGTACAGGGGGATTTCTAACTCTGTAAAAAGTTGAAAAGTTGACATGAACTCTTGTAAACCCTCATGAATATGTGTATCAATCAGATGGTTATTTTCCTGAGTGACTGTTCAGTGTTTATGTGCGACTCGGGTGAGTGAAACGTTGTGGAATAAAGCGAATCTGTGTCACTCTTGAAGCACTCAAGCTACATTATAGTTCTGTCATCTTTGAAACAGTTTCTCATTAATTCCTAAAGTTCTGTGTGTAGAAATGAGGGGAAATTTGTCTTTGAAGTTGTGTGGAGTGTCTCAGGAGACCTGGAGGCCTCAGGCTGGACTTAGCCAGTGATGAGGGAGATGTTGCTTTGAAAGGGAATCATTCCACCCTCCGCTCATGTTCAGCACATGGTTGCACAGAGCATATGCTGATACAGAAAAGATCACTTACTCCAATGTTTGGTAGGTCATGAAACAGTGTATTACTCACTTGAACAAATATTCACTCACTTGCTTTACAAATATTGTAGACAGAATTGTCGGACCCTGTATATTTGCAGCACAACAATAGCCTCGTGAGACCATCCTGATCTCGCGAGCTTTCAAGGTTTCACTCGCAGATCAGTCTGGATACTTTCCGTTAAAGAAAATTTGGGAGCAGTTCACCAAACGAACGTCCAATCAGCGTTGGCTTTGAGGCGGGTTGAGGTGTGACGCAACGAGAAGCGCGTCAGTTCAGTCTAAAGAACATGTCGGCTTCAGCGGATGAAACTAGCATCAGCGTGGCTATCGAGCAAGTTTTATCGGAATTACAGAGTATTTCTTCACTGAAAGAAGAGCAAAACACTGCTCTGGAGGCTTTTCTCAGAGGAAAAGATACGCTCTGTTAGTACGTCATATGCTTCGTTGATCTGATTGGTTGATTTGGCCCGTCTATCACCAACATAGGCCAATCAGCTAACCAGTATTTTCGCCCCTTACCAAAACTACTTCAACGGAAGGTTTCCAGATGGATATGCGGAGCAAATCCATCTGGCGGAGTCAGGTTAGCACAACAATGTACTGACATTTAAGTTTAGGGCCAGGTTTGGTGGTATGTGTAGGTTTAAAAGGGAAGGGAAAGGTCAACAGTGTAATTATAGCTGTAATTACAGAAACTAATTACAGATGTAATTAGATGCAGGTAATTATAATAATATTAATACAATGTAAAAATGTATGCACATAATAAGTGCATTGTATCGAGAAATTTGTAATTTAAATGTTAGTACATAAAGACACCCAATATAAAGTGGGACCTTTTATTGTAATTACTAATGACTATTTCTATTAGCCACAATGATTAGATACATTAATGTTACTTTTTATTTGTGTTGTTTCATAAATTACGCTCTTACTAAGCCTGGTTTCTCCCAAGGTTTTTCTTCTTCTTCGTGTCACTTGATGGAGTTTGGGTTTCTTGCCACTAGCCCTTGGCTTGCTTAGTTGGGGAACTTAATATTCAACAATATTATTGATCTGACTGCACTGACACTATTGGATGAGAACTGAACTGAGTTGGACGATGACATCACTGGTTTCTGCAGAACTACTAGATTAAATCAACTAATTTAGGAATTGATGATCTTTACAAAGGAAATTAATCAACACAGAACTAACGTCAGCTGAACAATGACACTATTTCCTTTCGAGCTGCTGTACAGACTAAATTAACTTGCTATATAAATTAAAGCGCTATATAGGTGATTTGACTAATTTGGGGCATATTGTTGTCACAAAAAAACCAACACGTTTATATGTTGTAATTTCATTATTGAAATCATTAATTACAATTTCTTGTAGCCACATTCTTTGATATAACTACATGCTACTTTTTATATTTTTGCCATTTCACAAATTGTGTTCTTACTGCCATTTTGTCATAAAATATCAACACGTGCAATGAATGTAGATGTAATTTTTTACAATTGTGCTCATCAAGAATATATGCTTATTAAGAAATTTATTTTGAAAAATAAACTAACTATGAGAAATATTCACTGTAGTAAAAAGTGACCGCTATAGCTCCAGTTTCCCCTATATATTAGTGTGCTTTTAAAATGTACTCTGACTTTGCTAGAATATTATAATAAAAACAATGTGAACATGACATCTCTTTTGACTCTGACTCATTCTGCAACTTTCTATTACATCCACCAAACTCAGAGGTGGACAACAAAGTACATTTACTTGAGTACTGTACTTAAGTATACTTTTTGAGTATCTGTACTTACCTTGAGTATTAATTTTTCTGGAAACGTTTTACTTTTAACTTCACTACATTTTGAAAGACAAATATCATACTTTTTACTCCACTACATTTCTGTCAAGGTCCTTAAGTAGAAAGCAGTAACGTTAGTCAGTGGATGGTTTTGGTTGCAGGGGTTGCATTTTGGTTGGAAATGAAAGTCGGTTTGACGTCAGATTGACGTAAGAACCCGATGTCGGATTGATGTCAACATCCGACGTCGGACAGACGTTGGATTTTGGTTGGAAATGAAAGTCAGGTTGATGTCAGAACCCGAATTATGTTGGTTTCTGACGTCAACTCGATTTTAATTTTCAACCACATTACAACGTCTGTCCAACATTGGAGAATAATGTCAATCTGATGTTGGATTCTGACATCAATCTGATTTTCATTTTCAACGTTGGGTTTGGTCTTCTAAATGCGAATTTTGTCATTGTTTTAGAGCACACTAGTTTATAGATAACAGTAAGGCTAACATATTCATACTAAAAGCCAAAAAACTTTAATTAGGGCACTATTTGAGGGAACAGCCCTTTGGGTGTCCGAAACCACGTTATTGAGTGCACTTTTTCAATCTCACATTCAATCCCACTACTGGAACTGTGTTCTAGAAATAATTTTGATATTGATATGAGGGTAGGTATAGGCAGGCATAGATTCAGAGGCATAAGGTACATGTATTACACAACAATGCAACAATAATAAAACAATGCATTGACATTTACTTTTTACTTTTGATACTTAAGTACTTTTAAAAACAAGTACTTCTGTACTTTTACTTATAGGTCTTTACAACTTTTTATTGTAATGGAGTAATATTTGACCGGTAGTATCTGTACTTTTACTCAAGTAAGGAAGTTGTGTACTTTGTCCACATCTGAGCAAACTATTACATCAGCAGACCTTTAGCATGTTCTGTCACAACGTGCTTTATTTTTCTAATTGATTGGATTTAGATTTTCCTGTACAGCCAGAGATTATATATAGACTTTCAATGACTGAATGTATGTTTGGACTTCTTGATTTTTAACTCCAACTGTCAGACCATTCAAACATACACTTCGTTTCATTTAAAGTTTTTCTTGAAGAAATGTCATTTTCTAGTTATAATAGTTATTCATGTTGTTTGCAAGCTCATATCATATGTAGGCCTATATTTGTATTTGGCTTTAATTTCTTTAACAATGGTTTTAAGTAGCCTATGTGAACAGAATCCATATTTATCCATCCATTCATCTATGATGGATCTTTAGATCTTGAAGTAGGCCCATTCATAAAGTATTCAAGTTCGTTAAGCACATACAACAACCTCAAAAGCTTTAGACATTCAGGCATGCAACAACAGATTGATGCACTTTCCTTTTCTAGTTTTAGTTCATGATAAATCGTGTAAACCCTGAATATTTTCAACACAAAGCAATTTTTGTTAAACATCCTAAAAGGCTAATATATAATATAATTTACTTTGTGTATAAAATTCGATCACTGGAATCCCCCTTTCCAATGATAGGCTACTCTATGTCCTCGAGCCAGTGTGTTGTCAACGCGATATTCAATGTCATGTATTTGTAGAGTTATTTTATATTTCTAATAACTTTTTTTTGCGTCCTGCCTAAATATGTGTTGTAGTCAAGGCCATCATGTGCAGCTCATCTTATACTGGGGTCTACAGCAGGTCTTGTACTTAAACAGCTTTAAAGCTCAAATCCCCTTTACAAACAAGGAATACAGCTTGGACCGTTCCACGTCCTTTTGAGGGAACATTGTTTCCATAAAACGTTATTAACACGTGATATTAGTGATATATCGACAATATTTAAACATCGTATTATGTATTTCACTTTTTAACAACAATATTTTGTATAAATGTGTGTACAACCGGAATCTGAGTGTTTAAATATTTTTACTCATGATTAACAAAACCCTATTTAGGAGTTGGTATCTTCCACTCGCCAGCTGATCGGCCTCGACTCCCGGTGCGGTCCGTCGGACTGTACGCGGCCGTTAATTTCTTGAATTTTGTCTAAATTACTTCGAATTTATAGTAGCGGCTGCTCGTGTCCTTATCTTTCAGTTCTTACGCTGCATTTTCACCTCGGGGATTTCGTTGTAAAGCGTTTTTGATCAAACGTCGAGCCGAGGAATTCCCGTACAAGCACTAGGCCGCCATTGGATCCCCGGTGTTTCCTGCAGAAACCTGCCGCCTTCACATCGCCGCCATGGGGGACACAGGAAGCGAGCGCAGCAAGCCGCCTAGTATTCCTCCCCGCTGCCCTTGTGGATTTTGGGGGTAAGATGATTCATTTTACACGTGAGTGTAACCGTGCGGCGAATTTGATGTGGATTAAGGCGATAAATGTGAATGAAATGTGGAGTGTTTGTTGTTCATTGTTGTAGGCCGATGGATGGGGGTGGGGAACAACCACTCCTGTTTTTCACATCTACAGCTGCTGTTTCTCCTCAAATACACGCATAAAACATACACTTCCACTAAACACGTATTACATATAAACAGTATGGCTAATCAAAAGCAGTTTTGGGCGATCCAGTGGTTTTTAACGAGCCGTGTGAGCTGGACTGACAGATCACTTATATCTTACTGTCCTCTATCACAATCATTGGCTGTGTTTGAAAACCTTATCTGGACAACATATTTTGACATTATAGATTGTATAATGTTGCTGTTGTATTTCAAAACCTGGTGAACATAGACGTTTGCAGAATATTTGGGTCATTAAAGGGGGACATCATTTTTTGTTCTATTTCAAAACGTACATAGCCAGCATTATGATTACTAATTTGGCTGTATTCAGAACCTAGTGTGCTGCTTACCTAGAAAACATTTTGGCCATTATAAGTGGCACAATTTTGTGGACTGTATTTCAGAACATAGTAAGCAGCCTACCTAGACAGCTTTTTAGGACACCACAAGGGGACATTGTGTTTGTGCTGTATTTCTAAACATTGTGTGTTGGCTTTCCTAGACCAGGGGTTTGCAATCTTTTAGATGCTACGGCCCCTTAAATGTGATTATCGTTGTGTGAGGGACTCCCATCCTAAAATTTAAAAGGCAGCTCTATATTTCATGTAAAAGGTCCCAATTTATATGGTGAAACTCACTAAAATAATGCTGTACTGTTAGATTTAGTACCGTACATTTAATCCATTTTTGTATTTTTAATCAATTTATTTGTTTTAAACATTTAGTTAGTTAATCTTGTTTTTATCGAAACCCCTGTCCTAGACAACATTTTTTTCTTTTTTTTTCTTTGTAAAACCTGGTTTGTTTTGTAGATGCGGGCATTGTAGGTGCTTACAACAGATTTTGGAATCATTGGGGGCATAATTTGTGTGCTGTAGGCCTATGTCAAAACCTAGTGGATAGCCTACCTAGACAGCTGGTTGATCATTTGGTACACACCTCTGATGTCTTGAAATTCTGTCTAGGTAGACACCTCCCTAGGTATTGAGACACAGCAAATGTCTTCATATAGCCGAACCAAAGGATAACGATAGATAGACTTTTGCTTGAGTGACACATCAATCAGGGCTCTTCAAGCATGTGTCAGGCTCACAGGTGCAGTCATCTGACACTCCATGTTGTCTGTTCTCCAAACAAATGCACAAGATCTGGGCAAGACCAAGAGAGACCTCTTACTGGTGATTTTTCGATTATCTTTTATTTGTTAGCTATTAAACAAACAAACACATAAAAAAAAATAAAGGTTGGATAAATAGTTGGATAAGTAAAAATAATAAGTGATGGTTTGGATCAAATGCTGATGATACACCAGTAATTACATGTTTCATGGCTCGTGTACCAGTTGATTTAATCACATAGAGCCCCTCTCATATTACTCGTTGACTAAGCTGTTATAAAATAGGCTCAATCTGTTGTTTTGTGTAAATTAGACTGTAAATCCAGGGCTTAATGTTAAGTGGTTTCAATTTGTAACTTGCCTTGCCAAAGGTTTCACTGGCCCCACCCCAAAAAAGTGATAAATTAAAGTAGTTATTATTTCCATATACCTTGTATTGTAATAAATGTTATGACACCAAAATGTATAGCAGCAGGTAAATTAGGCTGCTGTCACTTAAATATCTAATGCAATGATTCAATGTTCATGCATTTTCTTTCTCATCTGTTTACGTTCAGATATGACATTACCGAATGAGTGCACTCGCCAAGACTGGCATTTTGGCGTTTTTGTGTGTTTTTGACTAGGGATGGGCATTATTAATCGACGATCGATAATTGATCATTAAGAATTTCGTCGATCATGTTAATTTGTTATCGATAAAACTAAAACTAAAAAAAAAAAAAAAAAATCCTTTCCTCTAAATCCTCGCTTGCCTGGCTTATGCTACTCCGAGCTATGTCTGAACTTTGTATTTTGAGCACTTCTTGCGTTGCTTTTGCCTCTTCACGATGACTCGCTTGGTTTAGTCCTCAGTTGTAAGTCGCTTTGGATAAAAGCGTCTGCTAAATGACTAAATGTAAATGTAATATGGTTGCGTTGCGTAATGTGAGCCTTGAAGCAATGAACCGCTGGATTGCACCACTGCAGACGGGTGGAAAGTGAACGGAATAAGTTGTTTCCCGGGCTGGTCAAGTTAGCGCAGAGGTACCTGTGCATCCCGGCAACGTCAGTCCCCTCAGAGCGGGTGTTTTCGGCGGCTGGACTGAAGAGTTTGTTTACACTCGACCTCGACGCGTCCGCACAAGCACGAGGAAAGGTGCGCGAGGCAAAAATGACGTCATTGCGGTATTCGGCGTTTTACAGGCGAGCGCGTGGAGTATAAACGCCTCGTCCGTTTGCGGAGAATCGCGCTGCAGAGCCAGGCAAAAGTATAAACGAGGCTTGACGGTCACCATGTTGCGGTCGCGTCTGACCCCAGGCCCAGTCCATGTCATCAACATGCTTATCTTTCTCAACAAAAATCAGTAGACTGGTGCAGAAGTTTTATGTGAGTTAATAGATATTTTTTTTGAGGCTTTGTTAAGTAGCCTAATTTGTTGCTAGGTAGGCTAATCTCTCTCACACTCTTTCTCGACTTCGTACCTTGGATAGTTTTGAGTTACATTGAGTATTATTATGTTTTTGGTTAAGTTATTGTTTAACATGATTTTTTTTATTATTATTTTGGAACAAACGATCGGGTCTCTGTTTGAGGACGCCAACTCGCAGCTGCAGGTTTTGTTGCTTTTTAGAGCACCGCAGCGCATATTTCAAGTTTAGCCGAATGTCCAGTTTAACTGCCGCAAGTTGATTATCTTGTAATAAAGATCTCATCGAGGAAAAACACGCTGTATTTTTGTATTTTCATTGCATTTTTAATTTATAAAAAGTTAAATAAATAATTAATTTTAATATATAAAAAATATTAATGATTAATCGATAGTCGATCGTTAATTCTCCCGACGATCGACTAAGAAAATTTAATCGAATGCCCATCCCTATTTTTGACCGTTCAACCGTGGACAGCCTCCTGATACTTATTAGTAAAGCTGCCTGATTCGGGATCAATTCAATAAATTTGAATACAAATTTGAATGAATGATTCAATGACTCGCTTATAAAGACTTCACTTGTTTCATTACTGGATAAATCTGCATTTTTGAACAAATCTCTTGAATGAATGATTCAATGACAACATTTTTAATCAGTCGGTTATGTCGCCACCTAATGGTGTAAAGATGTAATTGATACAATCTTTATTTGAATCGTCAAGTTACTTTCGAAAGGTGATTTAATCAATTTAGATCACAACTGTGGATATCGTTGGTTATATCATCGAACTATGATATCCCAGTGCTTCTGTGATCATTTGAATTATTGTAACAGAAATAATGATACTGTGATGTTGAGAATTTTTTGTGAAGCTGTTTCATATCTATGACAATGGCTTTCTTCTGTCTGCAACAGTGCATGTTCTGCTGTGATCTTACTTGTCAAAGGTTTAAGATAGCCAAATCCTTGTGTGGGTGTTTGTATCAAGTAGGGATGTCGTGACAACTGCAATATTGTAATACCGCACTATTGACAAGCCAACCGTGGCAACCGCAGTGTTCACATTTTTTTCCCCACGAGGCTATGGCCTTCTTGTTTTACAATTCATCACCGTGAATTGAATGTTAAATAAATAAATCATGAATACAAGAGTGTTATGAGTGTCATTTCCCCGCCAACTGTTTGTATCCGGTGTTTTGTTGATTTTGAATAAGGCTAAAACAATAGCATGCGCTCTCGTCCCAAAACCTAATATAACGTCGCCAGTTTGGGAACATTTCGGCTTTCAACCGAATGAAAAGGCCGAGCCAGCAAAATTAGAAATGCCAATATGCACAATTTGCGGCAAATGGTCCGTGTGACACGCAGCAATACATCGAATTTGAGGTCTCATCTCGCTGACTGTCATCGAAGTGCATCTGCCCCCACAAGCATCAAGTCACGGAGCAAACTCAGAAAGGACAGCTGAGGCCGGTACCAGCCGACAGTTAAGAGTAGCTGAAGCCTTTGCAAAATCTGTCAAATACAGCCGTGAAAGTAACAGGTAACAAGCCGCTGTTAAGCAGTATCTAGTTGAGATGGTTCCATTCAACACAGTGGAGAAACCTGCATTCAAGACAATGCTTAAATAATTTGACAAGTAGTGCGAGTTGCCGGGCAAAACCTAATTTCCAGAGACTGCTATGCCGAAAATGTACAACACAGTAAAAAAGCGAGCTTATGAATGTCGACCACTTCTCTGCCACAACTGATATGTGGTCAGGTGTCAAAAATATGATTCTAACGGTTAATTATCTGAGCTTGGACTGGACTCTGAAATCACGTTGCCTCGAAACAGTGTTTATGAACCAGCTGCCTCATAAACACTTTAGGCAAAGGCCTAAAGATCCTAGATATAGGGGGATCATATCAATGACAAGGATACAAAATCCGGACTCATCAAAGAGATTCTGGGAGTAGAGGTCGAAGGGAGCGCTGCCAATACGTCAGTGGTTGGAGACGAAGGGCAAAGCTAAGAAATAGAAAGTTAGAGACCTGCTGAAATCACAGACAACATGCGCGTCAGCATCCATACCTATGGACTCCAACGCAAATCCACTGTCCTGGTGACGCGATAGATGCTGTTTAGTCTTGTAGCACACATCCGAAGCATGCGCTCAGAAAGCCGCCTCTTAGGGTGTATTCACACCAGGAAAGTCCGATAGTTCACTTGCTTTGGTCCGGACCAAATTATTATTATTTTTTTTTTTTTGGTACGGTTTGCTTTCACACTGCTCTTTTTGCAAGTGAACCAAAATGT